CACACACACACACACACACACACACACAAAGCCAATGCTAACCTCATTCTGGTTACACCACCTCACAAGCAAATGGTACCAGAGTACATCCCCACATGCTCTTTAGAGCCAAACTCCTGCCCTTGAAATCAGTAGGTACCATTTCACAAGTGATCAAGTGAGAAAGGACAGTTAGGGCAGAACAAGACTTACATGTGAGTGCTTTGCATTTAACCACTGTGCCTTTCCTGGTCACGAATACCCTGGGGTAGTACAGCCTCTAGCTCTTTGGCTAGGCTTCAGGCACTGCATGGAATGCTGGCAGGGCCAGCATAAAAAAGCCAGACACCTCAGGCACTTGAGCAAGAGGCTAAGTGGCACAGCAATGATCTTCCTTAAAATCTCAGGAGGCTGCAAGGGTCAGAACTATTGAGGCACTGAGTTATGACTAGGCAGAAGTGGGGCAAGAATTCAACAGGAGGATCCACTTGTATGGTCTAAATTCTAGATTCATCTACTGTCTTTTTTGTAAGGATCCTTTGGTCAGCATGCCCATATAAAAGAGCTAGGTAGGACCCCTTTACACTGTCTATCCTCCATGTGTCTCAAATTGCAGCCCTGAATGTGCACACCTCTGGATGATCCACCTTTAGGGGCTGGGGAGGTCACGTTCTCTGTCTTCCTGCCTCCATCCTCCAAAGACCTAAGCCAGACAAAATGGACTGCTTGGTCCCCTTTCCATACATAACCTTTCCTTCTGCTCAGGCCCCTACTTGAAAAGAAGAAAGGAGTCAAGTGTACAAAACTTCAAATACTTTCACTACAGAAACATCTATTTGATGGGTGGATAGCTGGATAAGTTAGGACAAAACAAAACTGTTTCCTTTTTCCTACAAGCTAAATGAAACATGAACTTAAGTCTCTGCCTTTCTGCATTGTCTGTCTGTCTCTGTCTGTCTGTCTGTCTCTCTCTCTCTCTGTCTTTTTGAGACAGGGTCTTACTGTGCAGGTCAGGCTGGCCTTTGTAGCAGTCTGGTCCTGAACTCACAATAGTCCTCCTGTCTCAGGCTCCTGAGTGCTGGGATTACAGGCATGAGCCACCATGCCGGGCTAACCCTCTCTTATCAGTCACCATCCCTCACATGTTCCAGCTCAACCTCTACAATGGCAAACATAGTCTTTTACTATTACTATCACTAACAGCTGTTTATTAAATTCCCACAAATATGTCAGGTGATACACTGTATCAGCTTTTATTAAATATTCACAGCATCAGACACTGATGCTTTACATGAGTTCACTTACTTGATCTCCTGAGCAACCATATACAGTAGTCCCATGCTATTCTGTGGTTTGACTTTTACAGACTCACTTTCGCGGTTTTTAAAAAAATATTAATCTAAATCATTTATCGTGGATTTTTTGCTATAGCACAGGATTTTGCAGTACCGTACAGCATATGTATGTTGTTAAAATTACACAAGTTGGGCCAGGGAGATAGCTCAGTAGAATAAGCGCTTGCCTAGCAAGCGTAAGGACCTGAGTTCAATCCCCAGTTCTAAAAAAAAAAAAAAAAAAATGCAGGTTTACCAGTTTAGAAAATGGAGGGCTGGCCAAATAGCTCAGCGGATTAAAGCGCCTGCTTAGGCAGACACAGTGCTGGCCCAGCCCCGGGGGCGTGCTGAGACAATGATTGCGACTGGGTGTGGTGGCCCATGTCTGCAATCCCAGCACTTGGGAGGCTGTAAACAGAATCACTACAGAATCTGATCTATATAGTGAGACCCTGAACACCCTGTAGACCCTTCTCTAAACACAGAAAAAAAAAAAAAAAAAAAAAAAAAAGAAGAGGTTAAAAATATTAGAAGTGGGTTTTAAAAGTGTAAGGATTTATAAAGTCTTAAACTATATACAAATACTAAAATAAATATAACCTCTACTTTGCTGATTTTCACTTATTATAGGGGTGTCTGGAACCTAACCTCTGTGATAAGTGAGGGACCACTGTATAAGGGCTACACTATCACCTTCCTTTTACAGATGAGGAAACTTAAGGCTCAGAGATGTTAAATGACTGGCTGAATGCACAACTGCTTGCTACCTGGACTCTGAGGACACTGCCTTCTACCACGGTACTACACTTATTTCTTGCCAGTTACCTGTATAATTTACAATGCAGCTGTTATCCAGGGGATCTCTGCCCTCCAGCAATGCCACCACTTCAGCCTAAGATTTAACACAGAAGCAAATGGGCTAGGCCTGAAGTCTAAAATCTAGGTGATATTCTCACCTAGATTAATGTTTAATATTAATATTTCTGGCACTAAAATGATTTCCCAGCGATTGACCGAACCGGGCCAGTGGTGGCACTGAGGAAGCCAGCTGCCATCTCAACATTCTTAACAACTTAAGGACAAGCAGCTGTGCCAGATCTATGTTAGATCTGCAGTCTGTAGTTGAGTGTGGCTGCTTTACCACAAGACCTTCCTCTCCATCTCCTCACTCATCTACAAACATGCACACCATACCCAAAAGGTCTGTGGGATCCTTTTGGGCTGTCACTTCCTGACTACCCCCCACCCCCTTCTGAGCTGAGTCTCTCCAACACCTGTCTATCAAGGTCCTTGCAGGAAGCACCTCAGAGCCTGGGGTTGAAAACACAGCGTCTCTTGATAGGAGGCGGGATACTGGAGGACAAAGGGGAATGTCCATATAGGTTTTCACTATATAATCGGAAAGATCTGGGGTTTCTCAAAATCCCCCAACTCCCTCCTCCCACCAGAGACTTTTGCAGAAGCAGCCAACCTCAGGCCTGGGAAGGCAATAAGGCAGGAAACCAAGAGGAGCGGCTCCTGGCGCCCTGCGGTCACCGGACACAGGACACAAAGGACTAGACCCCAAACTGGCTGCACATTCTTCCGAAGAGTACCTGCCTCCAAGGCACTGGGGCTGGCCTTTCTTGGGCCAAGATCCTGCTTACAGTAATGCTTGCTGGGGCAAGGGAAGCCTGGCAAACCCCAGTTCTGACTTTGGGTGTCTGCCCCCCATACAGACATCCAAAACTCAACTTAAGGACAAAAGCACGATTTAGAAGGGGTTTTGGGAGAGCAGGCAATGTCTTTTCAGGATTTTCCAACCCGAATATGACCACCATCCTCTCTCCTCTGAAGAGGAACGTTGAGTAGGCCCAGCTGTACTACCAAGCCAGGCCCGTACCACATCTGCCCAAGTTCTATTAAGAAAACCCAAAAGTTCCTTTGCAAATAAGAGCTAAGCCTTGGGGGCCCAGACAGTTTCAGACTGTGACTTCCAGAGCATTCTGGCCCCAGGTTCTTGGGCTGGGTGAGGGCCACTATCTTGGCTCCCCTCCAGGCTGCTCCTTGGGGGCCAGGGGTCCGATGCCTGCCCTTCTGGTCTCCAGCCAGCCCAGAGTTTTAGGCCTCAGCACTCCCCCGCTGGGGGAGGGAGAGTCCTGTAAGGTGATCCGAGGACCCAGATGACCCCCCACCCCAGCCCACGGTGACCACCCTAGACGAGGCGGGGGCGGGGTCCGAAGAGGGGAGGGCCCGAAAGTTCGCCCAAGTATCTGGGGCTGCGAGTCGGGACCTTGCAACCTGGAGTGCGCGCTCAGAGGCCAGGGCAGGGAGGGGGCGCACTTACTGGCACCCTCGATCTTGTCGGCGCCGCGGCTCCACGTGATCTGGCGTGTCTCCAGCTTGACCTGAAAGGTCTTCCGCTCCGGCCGCTGAGACTTCTTAGAGTAGAACAAAGTCATGACGGTGCCCACTTCGAGGCTGCGGCAGAGGTGCAGCACCTCGGCGTCGGAGGGCGCGGCGGGCCCGCAGCCGTTAGCACAGGGAGACGAGGCGCCCGCCATGGCTCTGGCGCGGGGGGCTCCGGCGGCGCAGGCCCGG